TATGTCTATACCTTAATTGGTAATTTAAAAATATTTTTTTTACTAACTAATTTTATCAAAACTAACTTTTAGAGCATCTCGATAAACTCAAATAATATCTTAGATGAGATTATGAAAATAAGCTAACAGTTAGAGTAGATAGTCATGTAGAACACAATCCTTGTATTTCCCACTATCTACCTTATGCATTCGGTGAATGCGTTAATAGTCACGAAACACAATGCTCCAACTGTGATGAATTGTTTAATTTTTTAGATTTTATTCATAAATCAGTACTATTAGATGATTTATGTTTACAAATCAAAGAATCTAGAAAAAAATTATTATATTATCTTTTCCATCAAACATGAAAAGTTTATCTAAATACCCAATTTAAAGCAACATTAGTACTAGTTAACAGATACTAAGCAAGATACTTGGTTTACCATATCAGCATTTGAAGTTGTATTTGAATTGATAGAAAAAAAACCTAAATGGATTAAAGTTATATCTGATAATAGGCCTCATTATCAAATACTAAATTAATATCAATAGTTGGATATTAGCATGAGTGGTATGGTATTGAGATTTATACCTGGTTGTTTTTAGAACCTGAGGAAGCAAAAACAACTATAGATTCACATCATGCTGCAGTTAGTATCTTATATAATAATATATATGCTTTTTTTTTAATTGAACTATTAAAAATACTCACTGTTATTAAATAACATATGTGATAAAGTGATATTAAGAATCAGACTCAATATAGCAACAAGAGATGATATAAGCCAGATAATTAAAGATCTGTCTGAAACTATAGTAGTAAATATAGAACCAAATTGTGGTAATAACAAAGATGATATTAATAAAAATAAAAAAAAAAATCTAAAGCTAAGATTAAAACCATTAAAGAGATTTCAAAATTATATTACTGTAAATAACCTGTTGGGGATAGATATAATAAATATATTAGCACATATCTACTACCTCATATTGAAGAATAGAATAACTTTTCACTCGCATATTTGAATAATCTTTGGAACATTCCACTTCACTAACCAAACCCAACTAAATCAGAACAAACAACACCAAGCTTCATATGGATAATTCTAATAAATGATATAAATGACTATAAAGAAGGTATTAAAATATATTTATATTATCAATTTTTTAAAAAAATTCTAATTGCTTAAAAATGTTTGAAACTAAAAGATATTAATATGGATCAAAATAATAAAAATGAAAGCCAAAAAAGAAATAATAAATAGTAAGTAGTAATTAGAATTCCCTCATCTAATATATTCGACTTTTTATTTAAGCATCTAATTCTAAATTAATTTATTAGACTCTTTAGTCATAATATATATTAATTTCAAGATAAGCATGAAAAAACTAATAATATTTGATGTTCTACTTACTAATTAAATGTTTTACTATAGCATAATAGATTTGAAATTCTTATTACCTAAGAGGTGGGCATTAAGAAACAATCAAAAGTTAGGCAACAGAGGTAGTGATACTAGGATTAAAAAATATATAAAATCTATATTAGAATACTTTTTTTTAAATAGAAATTGAGAAAGTACAAATAGAATAGATATATAGGCTATATATAAAAAACTCCTAGATCACGTTGAAGCTGGTGATATAGAAGAGGAAGATGTTTCAAAGATTTCTATAATTTAAAATTAGATAAACATATATGCTTGTGTTTTTAAATGAAGAGCAGCAATTTAGTCAGATAATAGTGTTTAGTACTTGCCTTCATTTTGTATCTTGAGATTTAAATAAAATATTAAATATTGATTAGTATTTATAATATAAAATAAAATTTTAACTATCAATAAGATTAAAATTATAAATGCTTTCTTATTATAAATAATTCATAATAGAATTCTCAGAAAATGCAATTTATTTTCATATATATAAGTCTTTTATAAAAAAAAAAGTTTTAATAGCAATAGAGAGAATTAAACATAAATTGCTTACAAATTTACCTTCTGTTCTATTAATTTTGTTGCATTCAGTATAAGTTAAACACTATACTTATTTTATTCTTCAGAAGATCTATTTCAGCAAGGTAGTGGAAATTGCTATTATATGAGAAGATCTACTTCAACAAAATATAAAACAGGTAGAAATTGCCATCATATGGGAAGATCTACTTCAACAAGAGAAAAAACAGGTAGAAAATGCTATTATATAGTTACGCAGTCATATACTGTATATAAGAAAAAACTAGTAAGCACAAATTAGTATTGTTCTTGCTGTAAAATATTCTCAAGAGTTAAAAATATTTATAAATTTAGCTATAGAATAAGCTAAAAATGCATTATACTAAATACCTTATAGATCTAATTAATCTAATTATCTTGAAATACTATATAGTAAATACCATGTGCATACAAAGTAAAGTTTGGCAAAAAAAAGTATTAATATTTAATGACCTTATATATAGTTAAAAACTGGTAATATCATTTTATTATTTGTGCTACTTTAATATAAGATTAGATATAAAATTTATTGACCTTGCTTATAACCTAAAAATTTTATATTATTATATTAAAATTCTCTAATTTACTGACAAATTATCAATTAATAAAATTTTATAAAATCTTATAATTTACAAATTTCTATTAATTAATTATAACTTAATGTACTAAGTAAACTTGTTCAGCATCTAAAATTATATCAAAATAGCAGAATTATTTTTATTTTACTTAAGATTTAGAGAATAAATGCATAATTTTAGAATTTTGATTAAAAAAATTAAATTTAAGCATTATTTCTCTAAATTTTAACTGTTAAATAAAATAAATAAAATTTTGCTAGTTTTTTATATTTTTAGATGTTAAACAAGTTTACTTAGTACATTAAGTTAGAATAAATTAGTAAAATATTAAAAATCATAAGATTTTATAGAATTTATTTAATAAAATTTTATAAAATCTTATAATTCATAAATTTTTTTTAATTAATTCTAACTTTATGTATTAAGTAAACTTGTTTAGTGTTTAAAAATATATCAAATCAGCAAAATTATTTTTATTTTACTTGAGATTTAGAGAATAGATGTATAATTTGAGAATTTTGATCAAAAAAGTTAAATTTAAGTATTGTTTCTTTAAATTTCAAGTAAAATAAAAACAATTTTACTAGTTTAATGTAATTTTAGATTCTAAACAAGATTACATAATACATTGAGTTAAAATTAATTAGTAAAATATTGCAAATTATAAGATTTTATAAAATTTTATTAATAAATTTTATAAAATTGTATAATTCGCGAATTTCTTTTAATTAATTCCAATTTTATATACTAAGTAAATTTGTTCAGCATTTAAAAATATATTAAACTAAAAAATTTTATTTATTTTACTTGAAATTTGAAGAAATGATACTAAATTTGACTTTTTTGATCAAAATTTTTAAATTATATATCTATTCTCTAAATATCAAGTAAAATAAAAACAATTCTGCTATTTTGATAATTTCTAGGAGCTGAACAAGTTTACTTAGTATATATAGTTAGAATTAATTAAAAAAATTCGCAAATTATAAGATTTTATAAAATTTTATTAATAAATTTCTAAAAATCTTATTATTTGCAATATTTTACTAATTAATTCTAACTTTATAATCTTGTTTAGTATCTAAAAATATATTAAATTAATATAATTTTTTATTTTACTTAAAATTTGGAGAAACAATGCTTAAATTTGATTTTTTGATCAAAATTTTAAAATTATACATCTATTCTCTAAATTTCAAGTAAAATAATAATAATCTGCTATTTTAATATATATCTAGATGCTAAACAAGTTTACTTAATACATAAAGTTAGAATTAATTAATAAAAATTTGTAAATTATAAAATTTTATAAAATTTTTTAATAAAATTCTATAAAATCTTATGATTTACAAAATTTTATTAATTAATTCTAAATTCATCTACTAAGTAATCTTGTTTAGCTTCAAAAATTATATATAAACTTATTTAAACTCTAGCCAGTTTGCAAACTTTGGACCAGATCTAGACCAAACTCAGACTTGACTAAAAAGTCTAGATATAAAAGTTTGAGTCTAGTAAAAATCAGACCAGACTCAGACTTGACTAAAGTCTGGTTTGAGTTTGGTTTGTAGAAGCACTACTCTATCAAGTAACAAGTCTAGAGTTTGAACCTTACAGATAACAATTTTAAAAAAATAGATCTGTATTTGGTAACAATTATTTGGCAATCAGTTGGATCTAGAATTTGTAATCTTGGTAATACTATTTAAATAAAAGCTTTGACATATAAATGTCATGAAACTAGAATAATTGAAACCTATTTAGAAAAACCTAAGTAAGAAAATAATG